GGCTTGGCGGTAAGAGATTTGCGGACAATGAAGAAGTAATCGAAGCTGTAAATGGTTATTTTGAGGAGCTTGACGAATCAGTCTATAGAGATGGCATTAATAGACTGGAACACCGCTATGAGAAATGTATCAGCCTTGGAGGAGATTATGTTGAGAAATAAAAAAAAAAATTTTTAAAAACCTTGTTTTTCTTGGTCAGGCCGGAAACTTATCAATCCACCCTCGTACATCAATTTTGAATTTATAGAGTCAATAAGTCAGTCTTCTGATATCAGTTATTTTAGAATTATCACAGACCATAAATGCATTTGTTTGTAAAATGATTAAATAAGTAACTTGAAATTATTGTATCATCATTTTTTTATGAGGTTAGAGTGTAATTACCTGTGCAAAAGCCTTGTTGCACACCGTACATTTGTAAGGTTTTTCACCTGTATGTGTTCTCATGTGTATTTTTAACATAAATGAATGAGCAAATGACTTATTACAATGTGAACAGAGATGCCTTTTTTCGCCTGTATGAGACTTTAAATGACTTTTCAATCCACTTGGTGTTGCAAATTTCTTTTTGCAAACATGACAATCTAATGGTTTTTCCCCTAAAATTGCAATAAATCATTTAGTTCCTACAGGACATCTAGCGTTTTTATTACCTGTGTGCAGTCTTACATGCAAAGCCAATATGTTAGCTTCATAAAATCCTTTTCCACAAAAACTGCATAAATGCTTTCTTTCACCCTTATGTCTTCTTACATGTTTTGTTAATCCTCCAGATTCTGCGAACGTTTTTTGGCAAATTTCACAACAAAATGGTTTAAATTTCATATGAACTCTTACATGTCTTTTTAAAACATTCATATCAGCAAATGTTTTATTACAAATTGTACATAACGGCTTGCAGTCTTGAGGATGAGCTACCATGTGTATTTGTAAATCTTCTTCATAATCCACACCTTCTTTGCAAAAATTACAATTAAATTTATGCTCTCTCCTTCTTTCATTCTTCTTGATTTCTGGTCTTAATTGAGAAATATTTTGATCATCTTCAGAAATTTCATTATTATCTTAAAAGTTAAAGAAAATAATAGAATTTATAAATAGAATTGTTACTTACTCACCTAAATGAATATCAAAGGAAATAGTTGAAAATAAATCATCTTGCTTTGACTGATCTTCTTTAATCTCATGAATGTTGTTAACGTCTTGGTGTTGAGGAGTATTAAGAAAATTTTCTAACTTCATACAAGAGTCGTAGCATTGGCGTTTAAAGGAACAAGCAGAATGCATGCTAATTTCACATTCTCTACATATAAACGCAGGATATTTATCTTTCTCCACTATCTTAAAAAAAATGCCTAAGTACAGAATATTCTAACTAATTACATGTTAATACTTGCTATTAAATCAAAGAAAGTAGTGATAATAAGATAATAAAAAGAAATACTTACTGCTAGAGATGTACAATAAGTAAAAATGTCCCCAATGACTGGATCAAGTAAAGAATTCATATTTGGTTTTTCAAGTAAGCATATTCGACATATTTTGTTTATATTATAATAAGTCATCTTTTTATGTAATTTAAACATTACAACATGTAAAATATATTCAAAATTATTCGATTGTATAGAATTGTTTTTAAATCAAATCCAAGATTTAAAAATTAAAAAATAAGATAATAGATAAATCAAATCATTACAAAATATAACCTTATTTTATTCCATACAAAAGTTTGAAGTAAATGGCCTTGAAGATTCAATTCTTATTGGCTGTTTCAAAATAATGAATTTTTTAAATAATAGCGGGAATTTGTTAATTGTAATCAATACTTATTTAAAGATACTTATATTTTAATACGTATTATTTACACAAAAGGACAGTTTGTTTTTAACAAGTAATTTGTTTTGTTTTTTCTTATAATATTTCATACCAGAACATATTTGAAATTTAATGACACCTGCTTAAATATTTTGGGAAATAAATTATAGTTGTGTTAACTGAAAATAATAATATCTTTCGAAAATGTAAGTTTTAAATCAAAGTAAACTGGTGGTAAAAAGTCTTTCCATAATTATTTTTCATAAAATAATATAACTTATCTTACAAACCGATCGTATGTGGACAAAAGGATGTGCTATGCAATGCGAAAAGGTATTTCTTAAATGGGTATTTTGAACATTAATGTACTTATTTAATAGACAAATTGTAAGACAGATTTAATGTTATTATATGACAGCACCTATTGTTTGTCAAATTACTTATTTAATATT